GTCATTTTCTGAAGGGAACTTTATATGGGGGGTAGGGTCAATTATGGACCGATCCTTATTAAATTCCACGAGAAGATTTATGTTCCCATAAGACATGTTTGTGCCGAATTTCATTGCTATTGGTTCTTCCGTTAGCAAGTTATGAGCGATAAAGTCATTTTCTGAAGGGGGCCTTATATGGGGGCTAGGCGAAATTGTGGACCGATATAGCCCATTTTCAATACCAAACAAACTGCATCAACTAGAAGTATCTGTGCAAAATTTCAGCTCGCTAGCTACTTTCATTTGGGCTCTATCGTGTTTTCAACAGACAGACAGACGGACGGACATGGCTAGATCGTCTTATACCCCCATCTTTTTTGATCTTTTTTGATGGTGGGTATAAAAAGAAATAGAAGCAAGATGGACAAAAGTAGATACTTCTTATCAAAAGGTAATGTTATCTCAAGATGACTTAATTGATACAGAATTTAAAAACCAGGCAAGAGATGAATTTGATGCTTGTACAGAAGCATATGTCCAGACCACATCGCAAATTGTTGAGTTCCTTAAAAGTATGCGCTTAGATACAGTTCAATGCCAATGTTCCAATCAACATCTCGACCCTCTAACTAAATCAAAATTCAATGAGCGATAGTTCAAGCATCTGCATTAAACTCCCCCCATGCGACACAGAAATATTTAAAGGTAGTTATGAACAGTGGCCCTCGTTTAGAGACATGTTCACTGCAGTTTATATCAATCATTCAAAACTTACTCCTGTAATTAAGCTATACCATCTCAGAAACAAAACAAGAGGTGAAGCAGGAACTATAGTAAAACGATATCCATTGTCCAATGATAATTTTGAGTTAGCTCTAAAGTCGGCTGGTCATATTCAGACTAAAACCTCGTATTAAGAAAATAATCCGTAAGTGTAAAAGATGCTTAATATATAAACAGCAGCCATGCTCTCAGATAATGGCTCCCTTACCTCCGGAAACATGTACTCTATCTCTTCCTTTCCAGGCAACAGGTATTGATTTTGCTGGACCTTTTGAGATAAAAACATCTATTCTACGAAAATCTCCAATAACTAAAGGATACGTAAGTGTGTTTGTATGTTTTAGCACAAAAGCTATCCATTTAGAGCCATGTTCAGATTATCCTCAGCGGCATTCCAAGCTGCTTTCGCTCGCTTTATTGGGAGGCGGGGGCTCCCCCAAAGGATAGTTACGGACAATGGCTGAAATTTCTTAGGTGCTAGTAGAACGCTTGAACGAGAATTTTCTGAATTTGTTAAAAATAGTGCTCAAGATGTAGCACAAAAATATATAACACATGGATTTTAATGGAGATTCATACCACCGCAGCCGTAAAAAGTTTCAAGTATCATTTTAAACGTCGGTAATAAATAGATGAGAAAAGCTGAAAGTTAATGATTATCTAAAATCACATCATAAAAGGTATAAGAGGAAAACCTCATGTCAAAATATGCAGATTAGAGATTTAGTCATTGTTATGGACGATCTACTACCACCTCACGAGTGGAATCTAGGCCGAATTGAAAAAACTTGTTCAGGTTCAGATGGTAATGTACGAACTGCCGACGTACGTACTAGTGGTGTGATTAAGCGACCTATCGTCAAATTGTGTTCCCTCCCTTTTCTGAATCAAGAAGAAGCTCAAGTTGACTCAAACCTTAAAGTACAGTCCTCTTTTTAAAAAACAAAAAAAATCTCGCGAATATCGTAGTTTATCAGTATTTTCTATAATAGCCTCAAAATATTGTATTTAAAATTTGTTGTCCTAATAAAGATTCATTATTATTCAAACTTTTCTGGAGTTTGGTGGTTTTTTAAAACCATATTTACATTTATAATCCAACAATTCCCGTATAATGTACTAATTGAAAATGTTTTTCCTTGTTATACATTCTCCCAGCAGGTCCAATCGACGATTAACAGCGATGAAACGATGAAAGAAGTGTAGTTCCATGGGATTTGCAGGTGTACTACTGTGTGATATGCACAGGGTATCACGGGCTCAAGTTTTGCCGGAGGTTCCGAAAATGACGCCACAAGAAAGACGAGGCGTAGTTGAACGTCTTGGGTATTGTACAAATTGTTTGGCTGGAAGCCACAATATACGATCCTGTACCTCGATGGAATCATGTGTAAAATGCAGACAACTGCATCATACCCTGTTGCACCCAACGAGAACAGTCAGCCCACAGTCAAGAATAACCACTGTCAGTAATCGACGCAGTCATAACACTGCAACACGTCATCATCAGCAGCATCGTCAACACCGACAGCACCAACATCATCAGCATCGTCAGCACCATCAACATCGTCATCATCAACGTCATCAAATTCATCAACGTCATCAAATTCACCAAACTCAACAACGTCACCAACCTCAACAACCACCAGCTCCAGTTGCTTTTCCTACCACAAATACACCACCCACTCCAGATCAACATATGTTGACTGAAGCCATCAAATCCTTAGCAACCGTGCTATGTTTTAAAGTAACCATGAATAGATGGCATTGGCCGAGGCCGGCACCATGTTTAAACTAAAGGTTTAATCCAATATTTAATTGTATATTTTTTTTTATGAAATATATATTATAAATTAATTTTATTATTGAATTTTTAGTATTAAGTAATGAATTGTATTTTTGAATTTTGTATTAAACTAATTACTTTTGAATTGTTAGTATTTGTAAATGAGTTGTTAGTACTATCAAATGAAATTAAAATTGTACTACCTTAATGTTTACATGATGATGAACTAGAATGCTAGTAATTAATATAAAGAAATAATGTTGCTAACGGTATCTTAGAAATATAAAAGAATTTCCAACAAAAACTTAGGGTTTTGGAATTTAAAATAGGTTTAATGAAACCAAAAATTGTATGTTACACTTCTGGCATAGCAACATAACTATTCAGTTGCAACTTTCAACTCTATTATAAATAAATCACAAATTTATAACGTTTAAATTAACAGATTTGAAGTTTTTTTTTTTTTGGTTTTACACAACTGGGTTAACCGACATAAGGTTAACATATAAGGTAAAGTACAAACCAACCAGTACATATTTATATTCCTCTAATATATATGTACACTAGGGTGGGTCGAAAAAAAAAAATTGAGTCAGTCATCCCCTACGATTAAAGATATGTTAATAACATTTTCAAAAACATAAAAAATATTTTTTTGCCACGCCTAGAAATACCGCCCTTTTTGTTTTTTTATATATTACGCCTCCATTTTAAGTCCGATCGTAACATATAATATATCAATATTTATGGCTTGACTGTAGCTATATTTCACTCTTAGACAATTTTTTAATTCGACATCATATTCTATGCGCGACTTCTGATATCTCGGATCCTTCTCCAAAATCTAAAAATGTGGCTATACTGGAATAAAGTATATTTAATTATATGAGCTATTAGCTTTTAAAATGCTCAGTTTATGCATAAACAGCTATTTTACAGGTATTTAAAAATACCTGTATAGTTCTAACTACAAACAATTAATTTGCTAGGGATATGGTCGAAAACTATTTTTTCAAATTAATTTACAATACACAAATTTCATTCTGCCCTTATCTTAACACAAGAATGATAATTTTATTCAGCATTTAATTTTATTAATTAATAACAAATCACGTAGGTACATAAAAACTAAACATTTTATTTTATAAAAATCTGTGCAAAATTAAAGAGTTATGCTTTATAAAATATTTCATGTTTTTACCATACAATTACTTGCATGTTTCTTTTTTTTAACAATTTTCAAAAATGTTTACACTAATTTTTATACAATGTAATAAATTTATTTAATGATAGATTAACTTTTCTTAAATAGTTATATATTTTTAAAGAAGTTCTTGAAATAAAAACTATTAAAAAAAATATTAATCGGGAATGGCCGACCATATGATACCAGTTATGAATATATCTAAAATGTGATTTCTTATTTAATAAAGCATTTATACTGAAATTTGTCCTTTTTAAGAAATTTATTGATGAAAAACTGATTTTCTGAAAGAGACTATATATGGGAGCTAGGATTAATTATAGACCGATCCTCTCAAAATTTGGTGAAGGGATTTATGTTCATATAGGAGTTAGATATGCAGAATTTCATCATAATGGAAGTGTTTAAGAGGGAAATAACGACTAGCCGCAATTAAGAGCTCCAATTTAATCCATTTTTAAACAACTTCGTCCTTTGGTAAAATTAAATATTTAAGCCTATTTTCATCAAATTATTTGGAAATTGCTGTAGGATATACATACATAGTTAACTTTATGCTATTTTGAAAGGAAGTAGGATCTGAAATGGTTTGCAACTGAAAAAATGAAAAGGATTTCTGTTTTATATAGTTCATTTAAAAAATGTTCGACTGTTTTTCCTGGCAAATTAATTGTTTGTTGTGAGAACGGTTGATAAATACTTGAACATTTTTAAATATCTATAAAATAGGTGTTTATGCATAAAAGTGAGCATTTTAAAAGCTAATAGTTCATATAATTCAATGTACTTTATTCCAGTATAGCCACTATTTTAGATTTTGGGGAAGGATCCGAGATATCAGAAGTCGCGCATAGAATATCACGTCGAATTAAAAAATTTTCTAAGGGTGAAATATAGCTACAGTCAAGCCATAAATATTGATATGTGACATGTTACGATCGGACTTAAAATGGCGGCGTAATATATGAAAAACAAAAGGGCGGTATTTCTAGGCGTGGAAAAAAAAATATTTTTTATATTTTTGGAAATGTTATTAACATATTTTTAATCCTAGGGGGTGACTGACACAACTTTTTTTTTGTCCATACAGACCGACCCACTCTAATGTACACATCTAAAATAATCAAATTTACTTTTTTCTCTCCACATTATTACAACCTCAATAATTATAATCACAATATGAGTGATTAACATTATTCATTTTCTCCTTAAGACAAGAACAGTGTTCCTCCGGAGAAAATTTCAAAATAGTTTGCAAAACTCTAGGCAAATATTTCAATTGTTTTTTCCCTATTCCTGCAAATAACTTTGACAGTTTTCAAGCTACGAGAGTTTTGTGTACCTCATTTTAATCCATAAGAAACCCACTTTCTTTTGACAAATCGCTTATTCAAAATTATTACGTTATTCAAATTTTTAAAATTGGGATATCATTACAGTTTTTGGTGCAGAGTAAATTTCTTAGTATATTGTATTTTCCCTATTCCTGCAAATAACTTTGACATTTTTCAAGCTACGAGAGTTTTGTATACCTCATTTTAATCCATAAAAAACGCACTTTCTTTGGACATATCGCTTCTTCAAAAATCTTAAGTTCTTAAAATTGGGATATCATTACAATTTTTGGTACAGAGTAAATTTTCTTAGTATATTGTATTTTCCCTATTCCTGCAAATAACTTTGACAGTTTTCAAGCTACGACAGTTTTGTATACCTCATTTTAATCTATAAAAACGCACTTTCTTTTGACATATCGCTTATTCAAAAATCTTAAGTTCTTAAAATTGGTAAAATTGGGATATTATTCAAATTTTTGGTACAGAGTAAATTTCTTATAGCCCAATTCACTATCTCGATTTTAGTCGTTTTGCGACTGAAATGTTATTTAGTATTTGTTTTTCTATTTTCTATGTCATTTTACATTTGTTCTGGTTTTTGTCTTTGATAACTACGAAAAGAAACATAATTTTTTGAATTCAGTATATCGATAAAAGACGATTCAAAAGTCAAACAAGTCACCTTACATTTTGTTATCGAAGTGAATAAATATAATTAAAAAAAAGGAAATTGTTCATAAATATGTTTTCGTTCGTTGGTTTTGTACCCCAAATAAATAAGGACTTGCGTATACAAAGAAGACAACTACGCGATAGATTAAACCCAATGGAACTCTCAAATTCAGAGTAAGTAGTACATATTTATATTTTTACATGTAAAATGTATGATTTTTTTAAGGTTCCGCCGAAATTTTCTTGTTTCTAAGGAAGTTTACCAAGACATGCTACATACCTTAAATCCACATTTTACTCAAACTTACCGCCAAACCGCAATTCACCCAACCTTAAAGGTAGCCATTTTTCTTAAATTTTTAGACACTGGTAGTTACCAAAGGCCAGTGGGAAATGACTTTCTTGGCTGCGTATCATAGTCAACATTTTGTAGAATTCTGGACGAGTGTTTGTCAATTTTTAGCAACATATATTGTCCTAAAAAAATAAGCTTGAAAATGACTCAAGCAGAGGAGCAACACACAAATCTTCGAATTCATGAAAAGTTAAATTTTCCAGGAGAAATAGGATTTGTGGATGGGACTCATATCCGGATTAAATGCCCAAGAAGATGTGCAGGACCACAAGGTGATACCGATCCCGGAAACAACAACAACAAATAAATCCGGAGTCATATTATAATAGGAAAGTATATCACAGTATAAACGACATGATAGTAAGTAAACTAATCTTCTAAACCTTGAATATTGTTACATAAATAAACTTTTAGATATGCGATGATAAGCTTTTAATTCGATGGAAGCAATCATGATTCATTTATATGGAAATCGAGCCAAGCTGACCAGTATCTCAATAATTTACATACAAATGGAAAAAGAAATTTGTGGTTATTGGGTATGTTTAAAAATAATTTATATCTATCTATCTATCTATCTATCTATCTATCTATCTATCTATCTATCTATCTATCTATCTATCTATCTATCTATCTATCTATCTATCTATCTATCTATCTATCTATCTATCTATCTATCTATCTATCTATCTATCTATCTATCTATCTATCTATCTATCTATCTAATCTATCTATCTATCTATCTATCTATCTATCTATCTATCTATCTATCTATCTATCTATCTATCTATCTATCTATCTATCTATCTATCTATCTATCTATCTATCTATCTATCTATCTATCTATCTATCTATCTATCTATCTATCTATCCATCTATCTATCTATCTATCTATCTATCTATCTATTTTTTTTTTTTTTCATTTATTATTTATTAATTAATTTATCAATTCATTTACAGAAATTCTTATTCCTAGTCCCGCGAAGCTTTAATAGCTTGTCTGCAGGAATTAAAATAATTTAATTTATAAAGATTAATGTTTAATTTCATATTTAATTTCATTGTGAACTTATGAAAAAGTTTTTTAAAAGTTTCTTTCTTTTATGATGGATTGGGGTATTCAAAAGGCTGACTGGTAGTGAATTAAATAATTTTGGTAACGTCACGTTTAGAGTGCTTTTTCCGTAATTGTTTTGGAAACTTCCCACTTTGAATCGACCTTCGTTTCTTCTTCTTGTATTATATTGATGATCAATTTTTTGGAGAAACCTGGCATCGTTGTAGAATTCGATCGCTAGCGTTGTGTAGTATATAGATTTAACCTTAAGTACATGTAATTCGTTTGCTAAGCAATTGCTTTGGCTGCTATTACTGTTGTTGTTGAAGATTGCCGTTGCGTTTGTGATGTTGTTGCTGATATTGTTGCTAGTGTGGATGTTGTATGTTGTGTTGTTTATGTTTCCGATGTTGTATGTTGTGTTGTTTATGTTTCCGATGTTGTTGGTGTTACTGATCGTGTTGATGTTGTTAGTGTTGTTTAGGTTGTTGCTGGTATTTCTGTTGTATGTGCTGTTGTTATTACTGACGTAGTTGTTGTTGAGAGTGTTGTTGTTATTGGTGTTCGCGATGTTGTTGTTGGTAGTAGAGTAGATATTGTTTATTATGCTGTTGGTACAGTTGTCCCTGTTGTAGTTGTTGTTGTTAATTTTGCTGACAGTGTTGATATTGTTTAAATTATTGTTTGTGTTCCTGTTGTGTATGTTATTATTCAAGTTGTTTTCCGTGTTATTGCTGTCGTAGTTGTTGTTGTTACTGATGTTTGTGTGTGCGATGATGTTGTTAATAGTATTAATGTTGTATATTGTGCTGTTGCTGTATCTATCATTGTTGGTGTTGCTGACAACGTTGATGTTGTTTAGGTTGTTGTTGTTTAGTATGCTGTTATTAGTGTTGTTTTCGGTGTTATTTCTGTTGTTATTATTGTCATAGTTGTTTGTATTTACGATGTTGTTGTTAGTGTTTATGTTATATATGGTGCTGTTGTTGATGATGTTTAGTATGCTGTTATTGGTGTTGTTTTCGATGTTATTTCTGATGTTATTATCGTTATAGTTGTTATTATTGTTGTTTGTATTTGCGATGTTGTTGTTGATAGTGTTGATGTTGTATAAGGTGCTGTTGTTGGTGTTGTTCCCGTCATAGCTGTTGTTGTTGGTATTTATTATGATGTTGCTGATATTGTTAAATACTGTATTATTTACATTGTTGATGTTATTGCCCTGTATGTCGTCACTAGATCTGTTGTATATTATGTTATTATTGATAATTCTGTTATCATGTATTTGCTGGTACTGTAGATTTTTCTTAAGGATCTTAAGTATGCGGTCTTGTGAATTTTGTAATAATCTGCAGTGTGATGCATTTCCCCAAGCGGCGATTCCGTGCCTTAAATATGACTCCACTACTGCGAAATAAGCTTGTCGTAAAACATTATACGTTGCACAATTACTTAAATGGTAAAGCATAAAAGCTGACTTGCGCAGTTTCTTTTGGAGATAATCAACATGTGTGTTCCATTTAAAGTTGTTATCTACATAAACACCTAGGTATTTGTATTTTGTCACAAGTTCAATATAGGTGGTGCAGGTATCATTAATGTTATTTATGTTGTGAAGGCAGTTCATATCATGGAACTTGATTTTGATATAGGTATCTATAAAATGTCGCGGCTTAATATGCATAATTTTTGTTTTTTGTGCGTTTATGATTAAACCGTTATCGTGACAACCATCTTGTTGCAATATTTAGTTGCGATTGCATTATTTTCATAGCATCGTTAATATTTTCATTAGATACCACAATAGCAGTATCATCTGCATATGCATATGTTGTGTTTCCTTGCAGAGTGTTGATCATATCGTTGGCATACATTATATAAAGGATTGGCCCAAGTTTGGATCCCTGTGGTACACCAAAATCCGTTACTACTTCATCGCTTAAAGAATTGTTGATCTTTACACAATTTTCTGCATTCTAGATAGTTCTTAAACCAATTTAAAGTTTTGCCTCTTATGCCATTCCTTTCCATTATTTGAAGAAGTCTAAGATGTGACAAAGTTCAAAGGCTTTGCTAAAGTCAATGAACAACACAAGACAATGCATTTTTTTACTTAGACAGTTAAATGTAATTAGAAAGTTTCCTAGAAGATTATTTATACTTCTTCCTTTTTGGAAGCCAAATTGATTTTTATTTATTATTTTATATTTTTCTAAGAAGTTATTTAGTCTTCTTACCACTATTTCCTCTAATACTTTTTCTATTACTGGCAAGATTGAAACTGGTCTATAATTGTTATAGTCTGATTTAGTGCCACTCTTGTATATCTATCTATCTATCTATCTATCTATCTATCTATCTATCTATCTATCTATCTATCTATCTATCTATCTATCTATCTATCTTCTATCTATCTATCTATCTTCTATCTATCTATCTATCTATCTATCTATCTATCTATCTATCTATCTATCTATCTATCTATCTATCTATCTATCTATCTATCTATCTATCTATCTATCTATCTATCTATCTATCTATCTATCTATCTATCTATCTATCGATCTATCTATCTATCTATCTATCTATCTATCTATCTATCTATCTATCTATCTATCTATCTATCTATCTATCTATCTATCTATCTATCTATCTATCTATCTATCTACTATCTATCTATCTATCTATCTATCTATCTATCTATCTATCTATCTATCTATCTATCTATCTACTATCTATCTATCTATCTATCTATCTATCTATCTATCTATCTATCTATCTATCTATCTATCTATCTATCTATCTATCTATCTATCTATCTATCTATCTATCTATCTATCTATCTATCTATCTATCTATCTATCTATCTATCTATCTATCTATCTATCTATCTATCTATCTATCTATCTATCTATCTATCTATCTATCTATCTATCTATCTATCTATCTATCTATCTATCTATCTATCTATCTATCTATCTATCTATCTATCTATCTATCTATCTGTCTATCTATCTATCTATCTATCTATCTATCTATCTATCTATCTATCTATCTATCTATCTATCTATCTATCTATCTATCTATCTATCTATCTTTTTTTTTTTTAGGTACGTGAAAAATCTTGCATTAGATACCCAGATGTTAGGTGGGTTATGTCGGATTTCTACTAAAAACACCTCCTTTCTACTAAAAACGGACAATTTGGAGTCGTATCTAGACCAAATTTGTGCAAATAATTCCTGTACCCTCCGTGTCCAGTGAGGAATTGCGTCAGGTAGTAGTTTACTTCGCCGTGAGGTCTGAGTATCCATGGCTCTATTTTTGGGATCAGTCTTAATCTCCATCTCCCCTTTAGGCTTTCTTCCCAACTCTTCTGCCATATCTGTATGGATTTTAATCTTTCCATATTCGATATCACCTTTGCATTTGGTGGGTTTGATTTTTTTGCTCATAGACCCGTCGTGCTTCATCTGCTAATATTTCTATAGGGATCATTCCGGCTACAACGTAAGCTGCGTCTTCTGAATTTGTTCTATATGAGCTGCAAACTCTTAGAGCACATAATCTATACACGGATTTCAGCTTCTTTGCCGCTGACTTGGCTTTGAGGGCTTCCGACCAAATAGGGGCTGCGTAGAGGATCGTCGATTTTACTACTGTTGAGATTAGCCTTCTTTTGCACTGTTTAGGTCCACCAACATTTGGCATCATTCTAGATAATGCAGCCGCAATATTAGATGTTTTCGAGCTTATTTTTTCAATGTGTAGTTTGAAATTTAGTTTATCGTCTATAACTACTCCTAGATATGTAAGATGCTGCTGCGATGATATTGTGTGGTTACCAATTTGTATATTTATCTTCTCTCGTTTTCGACGACTGCTTACTAGCACCGCTTCTATTTTGTGTTCGGCTAATTCCAATCCGCTTGTTTTCATGCATGCTCTAACATCGTTTACTGTTTCATTTGCTAGTAGCTCGATTTCTTCAATATATCTAGCAGTGACGACTATGACGATGTCGTCCGCGAAACTTACTGTGTTGGCTTCATCTGGAATTTTAAGGTTTAATACTTCATTATACATGATATTCCATAATAGTGGACCTAGGACAGATCCCTGTGGAACGCCTGCGGTTATGGTGTATGTACTCTTGTCATCGTCAGTGTTGTAGTAAAGCTCTCTGTTGGAGAAGTAGCTCCCAATAATCATTGTCAAGTACTTGGGTACTCCAAGTCTGCGGAGGGTATCCATGATATAACATTGCCGAATGTTTACCCTTTCTCTTATGCGACATACTACCCATCCTATCTTCACCTCTCCAATTTGTAGGATTTGGTAGCATATTTCCGAAGGAAGACTTATTGTTGCCGTCTGAGTGCCACCGTAGGCTTTCCTCAAGCTCTTAATGTCATCTACTTTCATTTCGGATTTGTGACCTCGTCGATGTCTCTACATTCTATAATGGTCTCTTGCCTGCGGGTCATAATCTCAGCTTTGGGACCAATAGACTTCTTCATTTGCCCACGGAATAGATCCACACTTGCTTGATCCTTAGCATTAATTTCAAGCAGAAGCTCTCCTTTCTGTGTCCTTCTTATTCGAGATACGCTTTCTCCCACGCCTTTTAGGGATGGATCTCCTTTGAGTTGCTTCAGGATGTCAGCATACGACGTGTCCCCCTTCGCGGAGATTATCATGGCGGCATTTCTCCTTTTTCTAGGTTTACTCTTGCTTTTTACCATTTTCCACGTCTTATTTTTATCTAAGGAGGGCTCGTCTGGTCTAGGGCCTTCGCTTTCTTGCTTCTTTTTCTGCATTTTAATAGATTCTTTGCTTCTTTTTTTCACTTGTATTTTCGGCGATTCTTCTCCAGAGTCTCTACTTCTTTTCTGAGAGACTTTAGTTGGGCACAGTTTTGGAGTTGTCTATGTTGCCTGCTCACTTATCTCCATAGCTTGTGTTGGTTCTATTCTTTCCGTTTGCAGTTTCGCCTTATTATACATGGTTTTAATTGCCAATGCTTGCTCCTTAATAGGAATATATATGTTATTTTTTCCCTTCATGAGTTTTACTAACATCTATCATATTTCCCAGTTCCAAAAATGGGCTATTTTTACTAGCGTTGTGTTCTTGGTTGGTGTGATTTGCATTGGTTGCAGCATGCGCCGGCGTTGATCCGTCGGGGAAACCGTCGCGCCTGGTTTTTCCTTTTAGGTTTGCTGACTAGGGATCCACGAAGTTGTCAAACTTATAACTACTCCTCTCTAGAGGGTACCCCTGTGGATGGATGGGCGGTATCCTCTTGCCTTGCCACATTAAGAAAATTTACTCTGTACCAAAAATTGTAATGATATCCCAATTTACCAATTTTAAGAACTTAAGATTTTTGATGAAGCGATATATCCAAAGAAAGTGCGTTTCTTATGGATTAAAATGAGGTATACAAAACTCTCGTAGCTTGAAAACAGTCAAAGTTATTTT